CAGAGCCCCGTATATCAGCACAGAAACCCAGCGCGTACCTTGTTATCCCAACGGAGCAGGCGTCCAGCTGCGGCAGCTTCTCTAGTCCCTTTGCTGCTCTGGGCAATGGAGCTTTAGCTGCTGGCAAACCCATCCCTGCCAGGGTGAATTTACAGAATAAACCAAGTTATATTTCCCTAACATTACGAAACAAGTTACATTTCACTAAAACACTGGTCCTGAGCATGAGGCTTTTCCAGTTTGTTTTTTAAATACAAGGAGAGGATTGACCCCAAACATCCTCTTTGTCCAGATTGCCATGAGAGCACAGGTTACTCCCTGCCTTCTGTGCCCAGAGAGGTTTATGTTATGTCTGAATGTGCTGACTGTTTAGCAAAAAAAAAAAAAAAGGAACTAAATTGATAAACAGCTCTTGACAAACTTGTCATTTTCGTTTCCTCTAATGTTCTGGCAAAAAAAAAAAGAAAGGCAAAACTTAGCAGCCCCATCAGCGAGGGAGAGCAGGTTGAAGTGAGTTGTGACAGCGAGTCCAGACTTCAGTCCCCAAAGCCCAACTCACCAACTTGCTCCAAAGGAAGAGTTTAGCACTTGAAACGTTACTGCCCTTCAGCTTTTCGTTTCTCAGAGAGGTTTCTCTGCTCGGTACCAAAATCGGTGCAGGAGGAGCGCCGGCGCAGAAGGGCAGCTTGGAGGCAGCTCACCCCTGCATCGCCCCACCCTGAGCAGATCTCTTTGGCTGAACGACTGTCCCAGCTAACACCTTTCCCACAAACAGAGGAAAATCCACCCTGGCATCACGGGACCTCCATCCCTGCCCGAGGAGAGGGGGTATCCACCTCCCTACTCCCCTACCGCATGGCTCCTTGCCCACACCCACCAGTTACCTCCCATTTTTCCTGCTGTGGGGCTGGACTGAGGACCATTTCCACCTTCCAGCAGGATCTTCCTCTTCATCACAGGCTCTCTGATGCAGGAGCCATGCTGACACATGCCCATGGCTACTGGCTTTGCAGAGCTCCAGCCACCACCTCCTGTAGCCCACACCGGCTCCTGTGGACCTCCTACGGCATTACCTGCTCCAGCACAGGGCACACACCAAGCCCAGCACCTCCTGAGCAGCTTTCCCGGAGGAAGCCCCAGGTCTCAGTCCTTGGAGGACAAACGGGTCCAAACTGCCCCCCAAAAAGCACTGCCATGGAGGGGACGGGCTCTGCAGGCACAGCCTCTGCCTTCCACCAGCACCGAGGTGCAAGGAAGCTTGCAAAGGGCTCCCAGCACAGTGCAATCAAGCAAGAACCAGGCAAACCAGTAAGCCCTAGCTCTGAATCTCCCTTATATACCAACGGGATTTGCAGCAGCTGTTCCTAATACCTGCAGCAGCCCAGGCAAATCACCCTGAGCGGTGAAACCCCCTGTGTGCTGTAGAAGAAGAGGCTTTACCCAGCAGGAGCAACCTCTTCCCTGTCTGCAGATCCCCAGTGTGTTGGGGGAAAGAAATGCAATCTAAAAGCCTGTCGGAGCAGTCCCAGGGCAGCTGGCTACAGCAGCTTCCCCGCCGAGGTATGCGTCCTCCAGCGCTCTGCTCCGATAACCTCCTACAAATTAATGTTTTCCACGCGTAGCACAGCAAGGACGCGTTTGCGGCAAAGCGTCCCCTTTGCTAGGGCTGCTCCTTAGCTGAGCTCGTATTCATCAAAACGCGCTGCTGCCTTGCGCGGGGCCGGGGGAGCGAAGGGTGATGTAGATGCTGTTGTCTAATCTCTGATTTTCTTTGTAGTTTATGGCTGCCTGCAGGCACAGACTGGCTCACGAGGCCAGTGGGGAACACGATGCCAAGGCTCCGTGCAGGGTTTTCAAGCTGTGGCCTCCTGCCAGGTCCAGACTTTCCATTTTGGGGGTCAGCCAAGACCTTCTCCTTTCCAGGCCCCCACCCCCAAACTGAACACATCACATCTTCCCTTTTGCTCAAGGAGAATTAGATGTTTCATCCTTTTTCTCCCAACATCACCCATCAAATCCTACCAGGTTCTTATTCATTACATTCCTCCAGTACAATTTAGCGTCTATCCTCAATTCTTTTATTATTCAGAGCTGGATTGAAACTGGTACGGCGGGAGGAAAGCCAGCTTCAGCCCATCTGGTGCCTCTGGGTGGGCTGGCCCCCAGCGCGTTGGCGCAGGGTCTGGCTTTGTTTTTCCCCAAGCGCAGGACAAGGTGACCGTGCCAGCAGCTATGTGTCATGCATGTGGTGATGGAGGCTGGGATGCCTGGTCCAGCGCCAGGCGCCTCTGACCTTGGCATCGTTCAACCAGCGGCATCCTGGGCTGGTCTATCCCCCAAGCTGGTCCCAGTTTTACCCCCCAGCTGGTCCCAGTTCTGCAGGAAGCCCTAGGACAGATGGACGCGGATGAAGCCTTAGCGTAAGAAAGACATGGACCTGCTCAACTGGGTCCGGAGAAGGGCCACGAAGATGATCAGGGAGCTGGAGCACCTCCCCATGAGGAAAGGCTGAGAGAGTTGGAGTTGTTGAGCCTGGAGAAGGCTCTGGGGAGACCTTCCAGTTCTTAATGGGGGGCTACTGGAAAGATGGGGAGGGAGTCTTTATCAGGGAGCGTAGTGATAGGATGACGGGTAACGGTTTTAAACTGAAAGAGGGTAGATTTAGATTAGATATTAGGAAGAAATTCTTGACTTTGATGGTGGTGAGGCACTGGACCGGGTTGCCCAGAGAAGCTGTGGCTGCCCCATCCCTGGAAACGTTCAAGGCCGGGTTGGATGGGGCTTGGAGCAACCTGGTCTGGTGGAAGGTGTCCCTGCCCAGGGCAGGGGGTTGGACTGGACGATGTTTAGGGTCCCTTCCCACCCAAACCGTATCATCTACGATTCTAAGACGGACCCCAGCAGCGCAGCTCCTCCGCCGCGCTCTGCCCAGGCTGACCCCAGCCCGGGGTGGAGGACGGGGGCTCCCACCTCCCTGCCCAGAGCCCCGGGGCAGGCGGACAGAGACGCACTGCGTTGAGCTAACAGGAGCCAGCATCTGTAACAGATAAACCTGGTGAGGAACGACCGTCTTTGCCTGCTGGATGTAAGTGTAAGTTTAAGCAAATTTACCCTGGTGTTGCTACCAAGCTGCTGGTGCTGGCGTTTGGTGGAGCCCATGTGCAAACCCCTGTGTCTGCCGCAGGGTTACGACCAGCGGTGGGGCAAGGATGGTCCTGAGGAGCCCCAGGACCCTTTGTACTGCAGGTCCCCTGGGGCTGGGGAAAATGTCAGCCCCTGCGGTGGCGGTGGCTACCCTGGCCAGCTAGAGCCAACTGGAAAATAAGTGCTTTTATCTAACGGCTTGCATAATGCCCAGGTAGTCAGACGGGGGGGGGGAAATGCCCAGAAATGGCCGCAGCCAACCCCGTGTCCCCCTCACAAGCCCCCCAGCGCCTCTCCTTTGGGATGCAGAGTAACCGGAGGGTGTTTCTCTCCTAGCCCCAGCCTGCTGCAAGCACCCCTGCGCCCGACCGTGGCATTTGACCCCAGTGAAGATGGAGAGCCCTCACCTTGGCATTCCCCTCTTCTCCCTTAAGGTCATTGTGATAACTCCCCCCCAGAGCCGTTTGCCTTTCTTATCGGGGACGCTGGCCAAACAAGCGTGGTCGGGATATAAGGAGCCGGGCTGGAGCCGGTGGCACACTCGGTGTGTCTCTTCGCCTTGATCACTGCCTGTTGGTAGCCACCATGAAGCTGCTCCTGCTCCTCGGCTTGGTGGCCCTGGCCCAGTGCCTCGTCCACAGGTGAGCAGCGGGGTGTCAGGGTGCCGTGGGACGAGGCGCAGGGCGAGCGCATGGCGGGGGTACCCGCCGCCCCCCGAGGCACTTCCCTGCCCAGCTCCCGCTGACAGATCGGCTCCCCTCTCCCCTGCGCCCCAGGGTCCCTCTGAGGAAGACGAAGTCCCTGCGGCAGGCCCTGCAGGAGCACGGCTTGCTGGAGCGCTACCTGAAGGACCACCCCTACAACCTGGCCACCAAGTACTTCCCCACCATCTTCGCCGTCGAGCCCCTGCAGAACTACCTGAACGTGAGCATGGCAGGGCAGAGGGGCTGGCACCAGCGGGGCAGCCCACGGGGCCACTGGTCTTTTACCTATCCCCCTAGCCCCATACCTGACCCGCTAGCCCCTTACCCATCCCTCTAACCCCTTACCTGACCCCCTAGCCCCTTACCCGTCTCCCTAACCCCTTACCTGGCCCACTAGCCCCTTACCCATCCTGCTAGCTCCTTACCTGACCCACTAGCCCCTTACCCATCCTGTTAGCCCCTTACCTGACCCACTAGCCCCTTACCCATCCTGTTAGCCCCTTACCCATCTCTCTAACCCCTTGCCTGACCCACTAGCCCCTTACCCATCCTGCTAGCCCCTTACCTGACCCACTAGCCCCTTACCCATCTCTCTAACCCCTTGCCTGACCCACTAGCCCCTTACCCATCCTGCTAGCCCCTTACCTGACCCACTAGCCCCTTACCCATCTCTCTAACCCCTTACCCGACCCGCTAGCCCCATACCCATCCTGCTAGCCCCTTACCCATCCCACTATCCCATTATCCATCCTGCTAGCCCCTTATCCATCTCACTAGCCCCTCATCCATCCCACTAGCCCCTCATCCATCCCATTAGCCCCTTACCTGACCCACTAGCCCCTTACCCATCCCCCTAACCCCTTGCCTGACCCACAAGCCCCTTACCCATCCCGCTTTGACAGAATGAGTACTTCGGCACCATCTCCATTGGTACACCAGGCCAGGAGTTCACCGTTATCTTTGACACCGGCTCCTCCAACCTGTGGGTGCCCTCGGTGTACTGCTCCAGCCCGGCCTGTGGTAGGTGTCTGGCAGCCCCATGGCCAGCTGGGCAAGGGGTGAAGGCTATGGAAGCCCCAGGCTTGGCCAGTCCCCTGCCCTGCCTGGCTCCGAGAGCCTCTGGGCGGGCTGCGAGCCGAGGACGGCTCTGCCCTGTCTCTCCCAAGGGACGTCGGGCAATGGGGGAGGCACTGGAGGGTCATCCTTGGTCCCTAGGGACAGGACAGACCGTGATCGTCTCCCTCCTGTCTCCGCAGGCAACCACAAACTCTTCAACCCAGCAGACTCCTCCACCTTCATCAGCACCAACGACAGCCTCTCCATCGCCTACGGCACTGGCAGCATGACCGGCTTCCTGGGCTACGATACCGTCAGAGTAAGGCGAAGCACACCGGCCCCCCAGTCCCACGGGAGTGGGAACACCGGGGCACTGCATGCCCAAACCAAGCCCCTCTCCCCATCTCCCCAACCAGGTTGCAGGCATCGATGTCGTGAACCAGATCTTCGGGCTGTCTGAGACTGAGCCCGGCTATTTCTTCTACTACGCCCCCTTCGATGGCATCCTGGGGCTGGCTTACCCCAGCATCGCCTCCTCTGGAGCCACCCCTGTCTTTGACAACATGATGTTGGAAGACCTCGTGTCCAGCGACCTCTTCTCCGTCTACCTGAGCAAGTAAGCCCTGACCAGAGCCACCCAGCCCTTGCCGAGGATTTTCTCCCATTTCTCTCCCACCGGGGCTGGCTTGGGCACCATTCCCCGGTGGCGTGATGCCCCGTGGCTCCTGGGGGACATGGCTCACTGCTCCTGGCATCGGCACCGGAGGATGGCACTGCTGGTGGGCTGGTGGTGGTGGTGGGGTGGGACCCGCACCTGATGCCTCCCCCATTGCAGCAACGAGCAGAAAGGCAGCTTTGTCCTCTTCGGCGGCATCGACCCCTTGTACACCATCAACGGCATCACCTGGATCCCCCTCTCTGCCGAAACCTACTGGCAGATCACCATGGAGAGGTAGTCCTGGCACAGCCCGCAGGCTTGATGGCTCCCCTTGCTCCCCAGCCAGTGTTTTGGGTGGCGCAGCCCCTCATCCCGCACCCAGGAGGCTCACCCCGTACCCCTCTCCCCAGCGTCTCCGTTGGTGGGAAGACCGTCGCCTGCTCCGCCGGCTGCCAGGCCATCGTGGACACGGGCACCTCACTGCTGGCCATGCCCAACCAAGCCCTCGGCAACATCCTGAGCGCCCTTGGTGCCAGCTCCAATGGCCAGGTGAGGCCCCAGAGGACCTTTGGGGCTCTGCGGGGTGCCCAGCTGGACCCCGGGGCTGCTCCATGGTGCACTGGTCCCCATCGCTCCGTGGGGCACGTGGTCCCTCTTGGGGTGGCCACTGACCCTCACCTGCCACCGTGTCCCCCCCCCAGATCAACTGCAAATCCATCAGCAGCCTGCCCAATGTCGTCTTCAACATCAACGGCAACGCCTTCCCCGTGCCACCCAGCGCCTACGTGATTCAGGTAAGCACCCCGCCGGGGAGAGGACTGGGGGGCTTGGGGGGGGTCCGGCAGGTGGTAACGACCATCCACCGTGTCCTTGGCTGCAGAGCGACGGGTACTGCAGCCTCGGCTTCGAAGGCATGAACGTCCCCACCGAGTCGGGCGAGCTCTGGATCCTGGGGGATGTCTTCATCCGCAAGTACTACGTCATCTTCGACAGGGCCAACAACATGGTGGGGCTGTCCCCGCTGCTCTGAGCGCACCTCTGCGCTAGGGACGGGGACAGGCAGCGCACCCCGCTTGGGTGTCCCCCCCTTGCCCAGCGCTCCTGTCTCCTCCTGCTGTGGCCACTGGGCAGAATAAAGCCACGAAAAAGCACCCCTGTGCCGTGTCTCTCTGGGAAGGGCTGTCTCGGCCGCTGCGGCGCTGCCACCATGTCCCCAGGCATCGACACCGGTGGGTGGGCAGGTGGGGTGCCACCCAGGGGCTTGGGTATGCTTCCACGCAGCCCCACGTAAAAGTGGGTGCCCAAGGGCCACTGCTTTCCGTCCCCGTGCCGCCACGGGGCACGCCGTGAGGTGGCTGTGGCTGCTGGGGCTGGCGGTGGCCAGGCGGGATGAGGAGAGTGGGGGGGACCCCAAGGGACCAGGATGGGAGCACGGCTGCGGCTCTGCCCCCGCCAGCATCCGATGCCATCGTTCAGGGCTAGGGGGACCGTGCCTGCTGCGGCGCTGGGTCCCATCCTGGTGCTGGCGGTGCTTTGTGCTGCTAATCACCATCCCTCTTTGCTGGACACTGCCTGGATAACCCCCGTGAAGCTCCCAGGAGCCACGGACCTGGCTTTTCACCATCTCCCTGGGTAGAGCCGTGCTCTGGGAGCCCTTTCGCAGGGACAGCACCAGCCTCAGCACCTTGCAAGCATTTCCCAGGTCAAGCCCCTGGAAAGTCATGACCAGGAGCAGCCAAAATCTGGTGCCAGCCCCCCGAAACCCCTCTCCCCCGGCTCTGCTCCCTCAGGGTCAGCCAGCAGAGGCCCCGGCTGGCCGCGATGAAGTCCCCAGCCATGCTCCTGCCACAGGGGCAGGGCCCGTCCCTCCTGTCCCCAAAGCCCGCTCAGGGTGGGATGAAGACCTCCAGCACTGCCCTCTTCATCCCAGCAGGGGCCACTCACCCCAAAACCCCCCCGAAGGAAAGCCCCATGGCTGGGTTCAGCGTGCGAGTGGGCGCAACCAGGAGCAGGGGGACGGGGCATAAATAGCAGGGTGACTTTATTGGTGGCAGGGAGGGCAGCTCGCCCCCTCCCCACGCCAGGAGCCGGAGGGCAGTGCCCACCCCAGGGGTGCGTGGCACAGTTGGGGGCTGGCGCAGGGCACCCCAGCCCGGCCAGGAGCCGCTCCCCGCCCCTCATCCTGCACCCAGAGGGCTGGGGGGGCTGGTCCTGCCCCACGGTCCTGCCTCAGTGGGGCGGTGAGGGGCTGGGGGACCCCGGCACCCCTGGGCAGATGCCTCTGCCTGAGAGAGAGGCAGTGCCCGTGCACCCATGGGAGTGGGGATGCACCCATGGGAGCGGGGATACTATTGCTTGGCACCCCCTCCCCAGCCACCCACCACCCCGGGGGGCCTGGTGGGCCAGGCCTGCTGGTCCTGCAGACCCCCTCCTCCTCCTCTCCTTCATCTTCCTCCTCTTCATCCTCCTCCTGCTCACGCCGCGCCAGGCACGCGTGGCACCTGGGCCCTAGGGAGCCACGTGCCCGCCGGGGCTCTCCCCGCTGGCCGGTGGCACGGCAGAGGGGTCCGTGTCCCCAGGGGGTCCCTGAGCCTCGGCGCTCAAGCTGGGGCTGCCTGTGGGAGCTGGGGGGGCTGCGGCCTCAGAGGGGGTGTCGGGGCCCCGGCGCCCGCACCCCCCGGAGCGGGGCCGAGGGGAGCTGTGTTGGGGAGCAGGAGCTGGGCCAGGCGGTGACGGGGGGAGCGGGTTGATGCGGGGGGATGTGGAGTGCCAGCGGGCGAGTCCTCGTGGGCTGGGGACAGGGACGGGGACGGGTCGCTGCTCTGCAGCGGGAGCCGGACGTCCGTGGCTAACAGAGAGATGCTTTTGGTTAGCACCCACTTCTCCCCCAGGACCCCCCAGCCCACACGGGGGGCACCCAACCACCCCGGGGTGCCGCAGCACGGCTGCGTCCTACAGGGCAGGGGGGTCCCAAACCAGACCCTGCCGCCGGCACCCCGGAGCCCGGGCATCCCCGTTACCTTGGCAGGGCGGGCAGCAGGCAGCGGGCAGCGTGGCGGGCTCTGCGCAGGAGCGGGGACACAGCCTGTTCTCGCAGCTCACCTCCCCGAGCTGGCAGAGAGGGGCGCAGGTGGGGGTGAGCCATCCCGGTCCCCTCTGCCACCGGCATGGGCACCCCGCGGGCACCCCAGGGGCATGGGCACGGGCACCCTGCTCACCTGGCAGGTACAGCGGGTGCAGGGCTGTCCCTCGGGGGTGAAGGTCTGGCCGTTCACCACCTTCCTACCCTGGTAGTTGCAGTCTGCAGGGAGCGAGGCCGCGCTCAGCGCGTGGCGGGGGGTTCACCGGGTGGGAAGGTGGGGGTCCCCTGCTTCCCCCCGCCACCTCCCCAGCTCCTACCGTTACAGACGGGGCAGCACTCGCCCTCGGGGTGGAAGGGGTAGGTGCAGAAGATGGCACAGTCCACGGGCGAACAGGCCACCGAGCCCAGCTGCGAGAGACGGGAGAGACGCGCGAGGGCCGGGCGTTAGCACGAGCCGGGGTGGGCTGGGGAAAAGGGGGCAGCCCCGAAACGCCCGGGAGCTTTTTCCTGCAATGGAGGAAAAAACTGGGGCTCAGCCCATGGGGCAGGAGCCAAAAACATCTTGTGGTCCCCGGCGCAGCCCTCACCAGGCAGATGCAGCTGAGACAGGGGTCCAGGACGGAGGGGAAGGTCTCGTTGTTGTAGAAGATCCTTCCCATGTAGGTGCAGCCTGCGGGGAGGAGAGGGACACTTGGGGTCCCCAGGTGGCTCAGGGACACCCGGGAGACCTCTCTGCTTAAACCCAGGCTTGCTGGGTTCTGGTCCTGCCCGGGATTGCAGGCAGGGGATGCAGAAGGGGATGCAGAAGGGGACGGAGCGGAGCCAGCGCCCCTCCAACAAGCACCCACCGCCCCCATCACCTGCCGAGCAGTCGGGGCAGCACTGCCCGGGGATGCGGATGGGGTAGGGACAGGTCTCCACGCAGTCCGTCCGCTTGCAGCTCACCGAGCCGTCTGCCTGCAAGGGAGAAGCACTTGACAGAGACCTTGGGCTGCCCAAAACCGTGGGGTTTAAGGTCTGTGAAGGTGGGGAGCTGCTGGGGACCACGGCCATGAGCAGCCCAGCATCCCGAGGGAAGGAGGGGGACAGGAGCCGTGCGCCGGGGCAGGGGCAGGTAGGAGGAGTGAAGCAGAGCAGGTTCTCATTCACCTGGCAGATGCATAACTCACAGGGATCGCCCGGAGACCAGATCTGTCCGATGGGAAACTCCACCCCGTTGTCATCCACGAAACAACCTTGGGGGGGACACAGGGGCACCCCCAGCCCGTCACCCTCCCGGTGCACGCTCGGGCCTGCACGTGCACTGCTGGACACGGGTGCAATTCCCATCCTGTGCCCACTCCCCACCTCCAACCCCCATGGCTGTGCAGCCCCCCAAATACCCTGCCGGTCCCCGTGCACCCCCACATCCAGCTCCCCCACTTTCCCCTGCCCTCCCCATCCCCAGCTGTCCCCTACATCCCGTCCTCCTTGTCCCCAGCTGTCCCCTACATCCCACCCTCCCTGGGCCCAGCGATTCCCCACATCCCACCCTCCCCATCCCCAAGCATCCCCCACATCCCGCCCTGCTCATCCCCAGACGTCCCCTGCATCCCATCCTCACTGTCCCCCACCCGTCCCCCCCATCCCACCCTGCCTGTCCCCAGGTGCCCCCAGCATGGGCTCACCGGCGGGGGCCGGGGGGTCCCGGCAGGTGAAGCAGCACTGCCCGGGGCTCAGGTGCCGCTGGTGCTGCGGGCAGTCCAGCACGGGGCAGGGAGCAAAGGAGCACTCCACCTCGCCGCCCTGGGGACACGGGGACGCGTCACCCACTGGCCCCGCAGCCGGACCCAGCCCCGTGCCCACCCATCCTGCCTCAGCCCCGAGCAAAGGCTGGATCCCCCCAGCAGGACGGTGCGGGGAAGCCCTGGAGCATCCTTGGGGAACCTCCCAGCCCCCCGGGACCTACCTGGCAGACGCAGGTGGTGCAGTCGTCCCCATCCAGGCTGAAGCGGGTGCCGTGTGCGTACATGCGACCCCGAAAACTGCACTTTGCTGGGGATGAGAGCAGCAGTGGGGCCGGGGTTGGGGTCAGGGAGTGAACCCCCATCCCCAGCAGAGCCCTGGGCTCCCCCTGCCCTGCGCGCCCCAGGGGCTGGGGGTCGTGGGGGACCCACCTGGCTGGCAGGAGCAGCAGTCAGCCGGCGAGGCGCTGGGGCAGGAGCCCGGGGGGCACTCGGGGGAGATGCAGGAGACGTTACCAGCCTGCGGAGGAGAACGCGGGGCTGTCACGAGGCGGCCAAGGGGCGATGAGCCCCATCCCCACCATGGGGGGCATCATCCGCCCCAGTGCACCCCACTCCATCACCCCAGAGGTGCATCCCCAGGGATGCAGGAGGATGCTCCCATCCCCATCCCACCCCGGGATGATGCGGGCTCACCAAGCAGACGCAGACAGTGCAATTCCAGTCAGATGGGGAGAAGACGTCGCCCTCGGCCCGGGCCACCCCCTCGTGCAGGCAGCCTGCAAGGCAGGCGGGTCAGGGGGGGCCGCCCCGGGCAGCGGGGCCGGGGGGACCAGGGCTCACCTGCGCAGCTGGGGCAGCAGCCCCCGGCCGGGGCGGGCAGCGGGTGGGAGCAAGCCACGGGGCAGCTCACGGCCTCGCAGACCACTCGTCCCCCCTGCAAGGGCACAATCCGGCTCAGCCCAGCATCGGGCTGGTACGGCAGGGAGCGGCGTGGGGAAGATGGGGTGCTTACCTGGCAGGCGCAGCTCCGGCACCCCGGCTCTGTCCAGCGGGCACCGGGCTCCCGGGGGGCCCCCCGGTACCAACAGCGAGGGGCCGATGGAGCGGAGGTACCGGGGGCTCCCACGGCACGTGGGGATGGCTTGGTGGCCAGGGATGCCGGGGCGGGAGAGGAGGAAGGGAGTTGGGTACCAGGAGCTGCGGCAGGGAGGTGGGATGAGG